TTAGGGCTTCTGAAGTTGTTGGCGAGTTTAGCTTTCGTAGTTTTGTTGAATTATGATTTTGATTGTTGAAAATTAATATTTTTTTTTATTTCATATGATTTAGGATTAATTTTAGTTTAGATTAGATATCGGGTCAGGACGTGTGTTGTGAACTTATAAAATCATCAACCAATAATAAGAACTTTACTTTATATGATTATTTCGATTGGTTAGTTGTAATTTGTATTGTTAAATTGGTATTTTTTGCTAAAAGTGAAAATTTTAAAATTTGTAAGTTAATAAAATTAATTTTTTAATTAAAAATTTAAAAAACGGTTTGGTTCGGTTTTATGCAATTTTTGAAAATTGAAACTTAAACCAAACCATTTTAAAACAGTTTGATTCGATTTGAGGAGAAAAAAATTGCGGGTCCACGTGAACCCGAACCAACGGTTTCGCGATTTTTTTGTGCAGCCCTACGTGTAATATATCTACTAAATATATGAATATAAATTGATAGAAGATGAAAAACTAATTAATCGGGGATAAAAATAAGAAGTTTGACCTATCCAGTAAGAATGTGATTCAGTCGATACCAAATTTATTTTAAATAATAAATACAAACACAAAGATTAATTTGTGTAATTTATATATTAATTTTATTTTTGAAAATGGATTTTGTAATTTTTTTTTTTTTGAAAAATGTGAAAATCAAAGATTTTAAAAATTATGAATTCTCATATAAAATTATTTTATTAAAAAAATAAATAATTGAAAATAAATTTTAAAAATTCTAAATAGTCATGACACACCAGGCACTGACAAGGCACAACCAACCACATAACCACATGATAGGCTTGGGTTATAATCAACCAAGCGGTGCTTGGGCGTTGGTTACATAGGCTCTGCCTGGTGGTAATTAAATTGGCCTTGCAGTTCCTGACCAATGGATTAGGCCAAACACCGCCCACAAAAATGTCAAAAATGTCGAAAATTACGTTGACTTCATACTTACCATTAAGGGCCTGTTTGGTAGGAATTCTCATTTTCTACAGTAAATCAATTCTCATTTTCAACCACACATTCTTCAATAAAATAATATTTTCCATCACATCAATAATTTTTTCTTCTTTTTCAACCACACATTTCCCATCATATCACTATTCAAAATCAATTTTCACATCAATAATTTTTTCTGCTTTTTCAACCACACATTTCCCATCATATCACTATTCAAAATCAATTCTTCCCCCAAAAAATCCCTACCAAACAAGCTCTAAATTTGAGATGTTTGTCTGTCATATGTCACACTCGACAAGTCATCTGTATCTTGTCTAATCACTCAAGTTTGTTTGAGAATCTTTTACAAACACACTTCGCAATGAGTAATTAATGTAACAATTAAACTTAAATAACTATTATCATAAGAAAACAATTTCGTAATTATTCGCGTAATTACTCAAACTTTAGCGACAATTGACGTAATTAATCCTATAAAGTACATTCGTTGCATAAATATCTGAACAGAAGGTAACCAATTCGAACTAAACAACNGGCCTAAAAAATTAAGGGTTGTGCTAGATGTACACCAAATCCATTACATAATGGATTACATCCCCTCACATGGAGGGGGACCCACGAATATTTTATTGTGTGTGGGCCCCCCTCCATGTGAGGGGGTGTAATCCATTATGTAATGGATTATGTACATTTAGATTAATCCAAAAATTAAACACCCTCGTGATCGTCGGATCTTCCTCCACACCTAAACCTCACATAATCCAACGGCTGATATAATTAACGAGGCTTCTGGAGTCCAAAAAAAGGTAATATTGTTGGCCCTGCTTTAGCCTACCACAAATTCTGGACGTAATATTCCTTCGGCATCTAATTTGGATGCATGACAAATCCTTTACGAACAGAACCACCATTAGAAAAGGCAACTAATGTATCCATCCCCAATATACCCCACCCGTCCCATGGAGTATATATATATATGACACTAATCATATGATTTGAAACCAAGAAATCAGAGAGAAAAAAAAAGCTTTCAATTGGGTTCTTGATCATAATAAAAAAATGGCAGGAATTATGGTGATTCTCGACTTTGACAAGACAATTATCGACATAGACAGCGATAATTGGGTGGTTGATGAACTTGGTGCCACTGATTTGTTCAATCAACTTCTTCCAACCATGCCTTGGAATTCTATGATGGTAAGTTTTTAACCTTTGATTTACACATTATCTACTTCCGACTTTAACTTAGCAACGTGGGTTTATGGTAGAAGTTGTCGACATAAGTTATACATTGTACATATGCAAACATGTTTTTTTTAATGGGTTCTTGAAATTGTTTCTTATTACAGGACATGATGATGAAAGAGCTTCATGCTCAAGGGAAAACCATTAAAGACATTGAAGATGTACTAAAAAGGGTTCCAATCCATCCCAGAGTAGTCCCAGCCATCAAATCAGCTCATTCATTAGGGTAAATTTTGCAGAATTTGGGACATTACGCGGTTTTCGATATATGCTTTATTGATTGAATTCAATGGAAATTTTCTGTTTCAGGTGTGATTTGAGGGTAGTCAGTGACGCAAATCTCTTCTTTATTGAAACAATCTTGAATCATCTTGGAATAAGGGAATGTTTTACTGAAATCAACACAAATCCAAGCTATGTAGATGAAGAAGGAAGGCTAAGAATTTTCCCTTTTCATGATTTTCATTCATCTTCTCATGGCTGCAATCGCTGTCCTCCAAACATGTGCAAGGTATATACTATACTAATTTCATCCAATATTTTTCTTATTCTGGATTATACTCAATAGTCAATCCTAAAAGAAATACCGAGTGTTTTAATTTCGATAAGAGACGAGGAACAAGAAAGTCGAACGAAAAGTGATGTCACGAAAACATCAGGGTCAATACACGGGGACAATTTTTTCGACTTAAGCCAATTACTAGGGGACACTTGTCCCCCATATTAACCATATGTTTTTGCTTGTACGTGCATGCGGCAGGACTCATGTCAACAACTTTATTACTAAATCCCAGTTCAATTACAGTTCCATGAAGAGAATAAGTTTTATGCCTTTTATTCGTCTAGAATATGCTGGAATGGGAAAGGAATTTGATTTAATGTTTTTAAATTCTGTTAATTGATTAATATTATCTCAAAAGGACAAATTTGGAAAGATGGTCACACATTAAGAACAAATCAATATATTTTATTTAATCATGTTTTTTATTTTCTGGGTTTGTTTTAAGCAGGGCAAGATTATAGAGAGGATTCAAGCTTCTTTAGCCATAGAAGGGCAGAAAAGAATAATCTATCTTGGCGATGGAAGTGGTGACTTTTGTCCGATGTTGAAGCTTCAAGAAGTAGATTACTCAATGCCGAGGAAGAATTTTCCGGTTTGGGATCTGATATCGAAAAATCCCGGCCTTATAAGAGCAGAAATCCACGAATGGACTGATGGGGACGAGCTAGAACGCGTTCTGCTAAATCTTATCAAGAAAATTACAATTCAAGACTCGGTTCAATTGTTATCGGTTGATTGCAAGTTCGAGACTATTCCCATGGCAGTTCATGAGCCGTTGAGGCCTGCCCTCCCAGTTAACCAGTAGTATGATATCGTAACCTTTCTGCTACCGCATCTGGCAAAATGTTGTTGCAAGTTTACTAGATTCTCATAGTCAACATAAAACATCTTTAGTCTAACTGGAAAATGGTTTTCAGTAGCTCGGTCTACATGAAAACTTAGCGATTCATACACTTTTCATGCATACTTTCCTTCAATGACAAGAGAAGGGTTGTCTTTTTATAAAAATTATAAGACTATTATCTTGACTAATGTTCTAATGTCGAATTTTACAGTTTAATTAATGTTGGACAATCTTAACTTGATCAATGTTCTGAATGTCTCAATCATAGTGAAATTTTTCATGTACATAAAGCAGCAAATAAACGACAATAACACATGGAGTTACTTTACGCGGTAAAATCCCACAACATAGAAAAATCCACCGACTCCCAAACTAGAACACAATTAATTTTAATTCAATATGAAGCTTAGTGCAAAACTTGTTAAAAATTAATTTTGCATTAAAAAGAATCAAATGAGAAAGAACACGAGATAACTTGAACCTTTTAATTAGGGGCGTGTTCAAAAGAATTCGAATCAACTTTCTCAAAATAAGTTCGACTATCTAAGGAGTCGTATATTTAGAGTTTTGATACAAACCAAACACTTCGGTATAGAACGCAATTTACAATTTAATTGACTCACAAAAACATTTTGAAAGCTATACAATTCCAATTTAGTGCTATTAAAATAATGGAGAATTTGACCTTATCTATAGTTTCTTAAACAAAATAGACAAGACAACTAGATTAACAACAATTATTGGAATTAAGAAATTCAAATTTAGTACAATTTCTTGTTCGTCAAATATGTTACACGTTTTGTTTCTTTAATTTTGTCCAGTCTCATCCAGTCGTCTATCTCATAAAATTGATAGTGTACAACACGAATTCTCCATCACCATGTTGTTCCACTTGTCCGTTCAAATATATTTGGATTCAACTCATCACATTTTTATCTTTGCAACTTTCTTGATTACGTATATTAAATAGTCCTTTAATGCAATTTGTAGATGATTTGTCATAGTCAGAAAGTAATCACGTGATTCCTACCCTTATTAATCACGTGATTTTTACCCTTATTATTTAAAGTTTATAATGTTCATCAATTTTGTATCTACATGTATTATTTAAAGTTTAATGTTCATCAATTTTATACGTAATATTAATCTCTACGTGTATATTAATGATCATTGTTCTGAAAACGTTAACCTCTACATGTGTCACAAACCGCGTCAACTAGTATACCATGTTAGACACAAATACCCCACCTTAAAAATTTTGCCCCCAAAAAAAAAAAGTGAAGTTTTCATCAATGGGCTGTATTAAAATCGAACAATTATAGAGAAAACGTGTTTAACAATTACAACTTAATTTGCAATCAACACAACTTTTTTTGATATTCTAGTTAACGCGGTTTGTGTCCATTTAAATGTGACAGTGGCCGATAGGAATTTAGGTTAATATATCTAATCGATTGATTGTAAAATTTAAAAACTTGGGTTAGTAATGTAAAAAAATTACTTCAATAACCGTTTTAACTTTTTTTACAAACTTCAGTTATCAATTATAATTGACATCTCATTAGGTTCAGCTACTATAGCTGTTCGGAACCACCAACAAACCGTTTTGAGTGGGGGTATGCCATTAAAAATATGGGAATTCACTGAGCCGCCAAGAATCTGAACCGGAATCAGACCGGCATATTCCACTTCGAGTGCTTTCCCAGTTGGATTATGGGATTGAGAAGACAGAAATTCAATTCCAAAAGAATATTCTTTTTATTCTCGCGTTTCTACCCCCAATGGCCTAAAATTTTAAACACTCCGCGATGTCAGATCATCACGATACCTAAAACTCACCAAATCCAACGGCTGTGATTACTAATGAGGTTTCTATGGCAGGAAAAAAAAAAAACTGAGCGTAATATTCCTTCGGCATCTAATTTGAACGCACAAATTCTTTCCGAACTCGATTATAAATGGCACCTAACATACCAATCCCTATATAAACCCCCCACCCCCACCTTGTATATGAGTAACACGAAAATCTTCAAGATTTGATACCAAGAAATCAGAGAAATAAAGGCTTTCAATTGGGTTCTTGATCAAAATCAGATATGGCAGAAACTGTGGTGGTTTTCGACTTCGACAAGACCATTATCGACATAGATAGTGATAATTGGGTGGTTGATGAATTGGGGGTCACCGATTTGTTCAATCAACTTCTTCCAACCATGCCTTGGAATTCTTTGATGGTAAGTTTTCGACCTTTGGTTTACATAATTGAGTCGATTTATAGTAGTCTTAATTTAACAACGTTGGATAGAGATAAAGTTGCTACGTTTTTAAGGTAGGGATAAATTGTACATTATACATATGCAAACATGTCATATGCTTTTTTGTTTTTTTTTCCTTATTGAGTTTCTAATGGATGGGTTCTTGAAATTGTTTCTTATTACAGGACAGGATGATGAAAGAGCTTCATGCACAAGGGAAAACCATTGAAGACATCGAAGAGGTTTTAAAAAGGGTCCCAATTCATCCGAGAGTAGTCCCTGCCATTAAAACAGCTCATTCTTTAGGGTAAATTTTGCAGAATTTGGGGATAAAAATTTCTTACATTATGTGGTTTTCGATGCATTTTATTGATAGAATTCAATGGAAATTTTCTGTTTTAGGTGTGATCTGAGGGTAGTCAGTGACGCAAATCTCTTCTTTATTGAAACAATCTTGAATCATCTTGGAATAAGGGAATGTTTTACTGAAATCAACACAAATCCAAGCTATGTAGATGAAGAAGGAAGGCTAAGAATTTTCCCTTTTCATGATTTTCATTCATCTTCTCATGGCTGCAATCTCTGCCCTCCAAATATGTGCAAGGTATATACTAATTTAACACAACAAAACCCACTTAATCTTGTTATTTGATTAATACTTTAATC